AAAAGTTTAGTGATTTCTATAAGCATTATCAATCACATAAAAACACTGCCATAGTTTATGTGACCATTTATAAAATGCTACAAGTGAATGCATATCTTAACGACAGAATTAATACGGGATAAATTCACTATAAAAAACAACACTACGATAAAGACTTTTTGACATTGTGCAATTTTTTATGTGGGGAGAAAAAAAAACTGACAAAATAATTCAGAAATCTATATTTTGATTTTAGAATGCTCATTTATTAACAACTTTACAAGTTGAGACAATTAAATACACTATAATCTGGTTTGCTCTAAAAAGTTACGAAATTGCTATAAAAGTTACGATTTAAAATTATACGGCATTTACAGCATAATATATAGTGTGTCACTCATATTTACAATTTTGAGTATGTATACATAAATGAAATCTATATTTTAATAATTCATAACGAAATGTGTTCTCTATGCACCAATAAATAATTTCATACACAAGAATATTATAGAAAAATACAACTCGTGTATGAACTTTATATGATTTAAATATGATTTTACTTGGTAAAAAATACTGTATTTTTCTGCATAAAAACGAAAGAGTTTCACAAAGTCTTTACCGCTGTCTTATGATCTAAAACATGTTCAAGCAATTCAAATAACCGAATAAATATACATAAAATGTTCATAAAATGCATAGTTTGGAGAGTTTTTAAAAAGAAAACAATGACACAATACAGTAACAAACTATCAAAAGACACGCTCCAGAAACTGTAAACAACCAAGTTTGTGTGTAGAAATATATAATATAATTATAAATATAATGGTATGAGATATATAATGTTCATTTATAAGTTTATATAACGACAACTAAGGCAGAATATTTATCACGTATCCAAACTGTTAACTTTACTGAACGACTTTGAAAGGCTCTCTGGATTAAAAATTAACTGGGGAAAAATAGAATACATGTGTTGGGTCGCTGGAAAAATCGGAAGGATACAGCATTTGGATTGAAGTGGGAACACATAGAAAACCATTGGAAAATTGTGTATGCACTTTTAAATTCAAGAAACAAAGAATTCTTACTCTCATTGAAAAATGTCAAATTATTAAATCACTAGCAATCTCCAAAATAATATATCTTATGCGCATGACCAATACACCAGATACAATTATTTCTCAAGTGAACACACTTTGTTTTAATTTTTTATGGGGCGGAAGATATAAAATCCCAAGGAACGCAATGTTTTCAGATATAAGGAATGGAGGTCTCAATATTCCAGACGGTTTAGTCTTGAGGGATTCATTTCGAATCCAAACAATTAAGAAATATTTGGACCCCACATTCCATCACCAATGGAAATATTTCTTCACACATAGACTACAATTTGTAGGCGGCTCATTTCTATTTAACTGTGACTTGGGCATCGAATCTCTTCCTATCAACTTATCTAATTTTCACAAAGAAGCTTGTCGCATACGACTTATTTACCACTTTCGTGTGACTGAGAATGTTCTAGAACCGTACTGTGTCTGGGTGGAATATTCTAGATTTTTTTTTTAAACTGGTTGAATAGGTAATAGGACACTGTAGAAGGCAATAGAAGGTAATGGAACATTCTAGAAATTTGTATTAAATTCCTGACTCATTATGTATGCTGATGTAATGGTCTATTTATAGACAGTGTGGGTATATATAGGGGAGTTGTTCAGCACTGAGATCAGATCGGAGATCTCGTTGAATTGTATTGGAGTTTAAGTATCTAGTTATTGGAGTAGTGGAGTTTTACCGCGTTATTGTACTTGATGTTTGCAGAGTATAATAATACCAGTACCAGTTGAAACCTCATCTGTTGGCTCCGTGTTCGTATTTTATCATCGCCGCCAGGGAAGTCTTTTTGTTACTGTTGCCATTTTGGTATTTGAACCATCACACCTGTACTATACCAATTACGTTATTATTACGTTGCGTGTGACAAAGCTATTATACAAAGAACTTATACACCTGATTGTAAATAATCCATCTAAATTTATGATCAAGTCCGTATATTATTCTAATATTAGCAACAGTAGTATCACATATATCAACGATCTATTTACCAACCGCACGTCAAAAACGACAGCTGTATTTCGAGAAGTTTACGATTTATCAAGTGTTGATTAATTCCTCCTGGGAATTAATCATTCTATTCCTTCCTGGCTGAAGTATGAACAAACACATACCGCCAATAGGATACATTCACTATGAATTTATATTGACAACAGGTTTGTTCTAATGAGTGTTGTTTCTAAATATACAATTAAACGACAATTGGGAAAATCGAAATACCAAAGGCCGACAAGCGCTAGCAAATTTATGAATGCTTTTGATATTCCATTTTCAAGTTTGAGAAAGTTTTATATTATATCATTTTATGCCACGATAGACACTAAATCACGAGAGTTTCAATTTAAAATTATATACAATGCAGACTGACTTTAAATTGTATAACGGTAACCGGCGCACGGCGTTCACACAGAATATTGGAGCAAAAAATATTTCCTGATCAATTGCGATGTGTTCCAAATAAAAAATATTTTATTTTATTTTATGATAAACTTACCGAAAAGCCGTGTTTTTCTCGGTCGCTAATGTCAGTATAATCCACCATTTTATTTTGAGTGTGTTTGCCACCTGACTCTGCCCGGTGACGTCATCATGTGCGCTACAGAAGGAGGTCTGTGATTCGTTGACTAAAATCGTCGATAGTGGATCTCGTTGAAATCTCGTTACATAGGCATCGGGTCAGATGTATGTAGGACGGAATTTTAAAAAATCACAAAATCAAAATCAGAGTAAAATAATAAAATAAAAAAGCATTAATAACAAAAGCAATAAAAAATTTAATTAAAATAAGTTTATAGCCAAAATAATTAAAGCCCGTACATTACATCAGATTTTAATCAGATTGGACCATTGACGATGAACAAAAGGAATACTTGATTAAGAACCGATCACCTGGTGAAGCCTATTCATTTCCAGCAAAGGAATACACAGACAAAAATGAAAAATCGGGGAAAAGGAACCGCTATTGCTGTCTTGACTGGTTAAAAAACATGACTTTCTTGCATATTCAAAAGACACAGACGGCTTATTTTGTTTGTCCTGTGTCCTTTTTCCTGTAAAGTCTAAACAGGGGAGTCGTGCAAGTCTTCTAATCAGCGCTCCTTATCGCAACTGGAAGGATGCGTCAGCAGACCTTCGTCATCATTCTAGGTTCAATGCTCTGGTTCTTCTCTTCGTGCATAAGGACATTCCACTTGACTACAGAAAAGTCATTGATATGTATGCTCGGAAACATCCAAGACGGATGCTCTTTGCTAATCCATTATCAAATTGACAGATAATTACCATTGGACAATGATGACAGGTGTTTTTCAGTGTTTCATGAACTATTTCAGAATGAGTGGTAATGTAAATACAGGTATATCAAATGTTTAAAAAACTGGGATTATAAAACGAATTGATTATTTTCGGAATTATTCAATAATAACCTGCATTGCATCTATCTATAGATTATCTTATTGGAATATCATGTATGGTGTGGAGTCAATACTAATAATGAGAGAAAACATTTAACTAAGTAGCCCTTGTCGTCCACAAATTGTCAGCACTTTATTATAGACAACTTTCGGGAGAAAAGCTCTGCATTTGCCGTCTTTGTGCAATAGCAAAAATTGTTCACCTTCAGGATGATAATTTAACTACACTGACCTGACAGCATTTTATTTGGTTGAGGAGTTCTTTATATAAATGTAGGTTCATTTTCAGTACTTTTCAGATGGTGATATTGTTACCCTAAAAAATGAGTGATTATATTAGGGAATTATGCCC